CCTGCCCCAAATCTCTCTAGGGCATCTTTCTGTCTCAACCTCATTCCAGATCTAATAATTAGTTTTGCTTTAACAATTTTATCTCATACCCACTGTAATGCAGACTCTCTCCAAAAATCCTCTTTCTATTCCAGTAAGGTACCATCAGTACTACTGTTTCTCAGAACCTTACAAAATAGAGATAATAGTTTCCATCAAAAGAACTAAAAAATATGGCATAAAATAATATATTAAGTGTAGGACATGGTTCAAGTTCTACTTTGTCTGTGTAACTTTCTTTCTTCTTTTCCCTGTGAACTCTCAGCCTGACTGACAATATAGCATAATGTAGAAGAAGAGCAGGATTGTACTGTCAGAAAAACATTTACTCGGGTCCAGATTCTACTATCTCCTTCATCTCTTTTGATCTTAACCTACTCATCTTTAAGACAAAAATATAATTACAATACCTGTTTTCAAAATGTTATCGTAATTAAAACAAATATGAATGCAATCTCTAATTTTTTCCTGCATGTTAAATTACAAATACAGGTATTAGGTTTTGTGTTCCTTTTCTACCAATAAAGTGTGTAAGATCTAACTACAGTGTAAAATCAGAAAAGCTATAAAATAATCTAAATCTGCCCAAATTCATATGTTGAAATGCTAACCCCTAATATGATGTCTTTGGAGATTGGGCCTTTGGCAGTTAACCAGTTTTAGGTGAAGTCATGAAGTTGGACCCCTCATGATAAGCTTAGTGCCTTTTCAAGACACACCAGAGTTTACAAACTTGTAGGCAGATGCATTCTCTTCCTCCCACACCCCTGCCCTTCTGCCAAGACAGAAAGAATGACTACTGTCTAGAAGCCAGGAAAAGAGCCCTGAGAACTCAACCATGCTAGTATCTAGGACTCCCAGCCTCTGAAACTATGATTTTTTTTTTTTTTTCAGGCCACCCATTCTATGGTATTTTGCTATGGCAGCCTGAGTTAATGCTTAAGCCTTTGGAAATGCTAAAGGGTTGATAAAAGAAACCTCAGCTTTAGTCCATGTTTCCTATTGATTGCTGAGGTAAAGTTAAAGTACACAAATATCCTAAACACTAAAAATAATTCTAAATGCCCTTGCTAGTCTTTTGGAATCATAAAAGAAGACAAAATGGGAATTAAAAGAAAACTAACTCTTCATAGTTTGCCTCCAACCCCTGATCTCTAAAAATGAGTTACATTTTTGCTATTAAGATAGGCCTTGTTTTTCACCCAGCTCTCTACCTCAGGAAGCTGGACAACATGGACCCTATTTCCAGGAACTCTGACTTCCCATTGGGCTGGGCCAATACAGAGCCCCAACAAAAGATCAGAGGGGGTGGAGGGATGAAGGATCAGAGTATTTTTCACCCCTCTGCCTCCTCTCCTGCAAGGATTTCATTAACTGTGACTCCCACCAAAATTTAGTGCTCCTCTCAGGATGGCCCATTCCTCCTCTGGATTTCTTATTAAACCTTTGCTTCTTGAAGCTTAGCCATGGTTAAAATTTAGATGACTTCCCACCGTAATCCCCCTGTGAACTCTCTTGTGGTTTCCCCTGCACACTCAACTTTGAAAATAGCCTTTTTGAAAATAATACCTATTCAAACTGTCCTATTTTGAGAACGCCATTTGCTTCCTGTTGGGACCTCGATCAATACACACTTTTTACTCAGACAGCACTTTCAGGTTAAAATATCTTTTTTTCCTTCTATCCCTCTGGTCAACTTCTAAACACATTACCAAGCATGCTGAATGTCACTGCCCCTCTGTAAGTTTCTCTGTTGCCATCACAGAATAAATAAACGATTCATTCATTTTTTTTGCTGATAGCACTTTAAGTTTCAAATACTTACACACTTTACAGTGCACTACAAGCATCAAAGATCAAGGACATCACCTGATACAAAGCACACACTTAAGAATAGAGATAAACTGCTCTGAAATTTGGGAAAAGTTTTTTTTTTTTTTTTTTTTTTAATTTGCAATATTATTAAAGGTATACATTTTAAAAGTGTGAACAAAAAATCATTAATTTGGCTTTGTATGTGAAATAAAAGTCTATTTCAAGAAATTAGTTTTCTATTCATCCCTATATCTTTATGGCATTGAATGTTTAATTTACCCTATGATATGACTTTTTTTTAAATATTTTGTTTGAAAAACTAATTTCTAAATTTAAGAAGGAGACAATTATATAACAATTTAAGCAGTTAAATATCTTTTTTCAGAATGTTCAATTTAAAATATCAGATATTTTACAGAGAAAACAGCTATTATTTCAATGATAGGTGATGAGTTTTTTTATTAATGGCTACCAGATAAGTCATAAGAGAGAGATTCTCAAGTGAGTTATAAAGGTCAATCCCTTGTGGACTGAAACAAATTTTCAGGTTCAATTTAAAATAAGATTTTTAATTACCAAGATAGACTACCTAGGGACAACTTCAGATTGAAAGACCAAAACCTCAAGTTTTTATTTTGTTTTTAATAGAGAATATAAATCCTCCAAAGAAAATCTGATAGATATAATTAGTTATCCACTTATGGAAAGTGGTATATCTGTATATTAATATTATAATAGCACCTAAATGTTTCCTTAACATTTAAAATGTCTATAGATTATAAATATTATTTTAGGTCTATATTTATAATTCATCTCCTTCAATGTAATTTTGAGAGAATAAAAATGAAAAATCACAGAACAGTTTACATGATATTTACTGAGTGTTTCTTTGCTGCTAAACAGATTTTAAAGGCCGGGTAACAAAGTCAAAGCCATTTTTTAAACCATCAAATTTTTTCATTTTATCAAAGTAAATAATTCGTTTTTTAAAAAGTATAGTACATAGATAGTACAAAAATCATATAATATTTCAGTTGGCATGGAAAAACAGATGCATAACATAATTCCCAATGTATACCAATAATCACTCATTTCTAATATAGTTTGAGTATCTCTTTTTTGAAGTGCTTGGGATGGGAAGAGTTTCAACTTTATATTTTGGAATATTTTCATACAAGTAATAAAGTGTCTTGGGAAGAAGATCCAAGACAAAATACCAAATTCTTTTATGCTTCATATACACATACCCCAAAGGTAGTTATGTACACTATTTTTAATAATACATGCATGAAACAAAGTTTCAAAGTATGGAATTTTCCACTTGCAGCATAATGTCAAGCACTCAAACAGTTTCAGATTTTAAACCATTTTAGGTTTCAGATTTTTGGATTAGGGAGGTTCAGCATGTCCTTAATTATTTTACCGTTTGTACAAGAAAAAATATATTAGAATAAATTCATTCAACATTTAAGTTAAAAAGTAAGCAAGCGTATCAGGGCTTATAAAATTTCCTAGCTGAAGAGGCAGAAAAAAATTCTGCAACATTAGTAATTAGTAAATTCTGTTTCTAAAATAATAAAACTTTAATAAAAACAAAATATAACTATTTCATTGCATGACAGTTTTCACAAATCAGGCCTTATAAACTATAGAAGAATGAAGTAATTTGAAATGTTCTTTTAAAACTAGACCTAAAAATGGCTTTAACATTCTTGAGTGTTTTTTAACATTCTTGAGTGTCTTTTCTGCCAGGCAATATTCTTATAGTTGAACACTATTCTTATAGTTATACAGGGGAGCAAACAATAAAGCAAAGGCTCTGCTCTTGTTAAGCTTACATAGATACAGAAAAGGGATTATTTATATTAAATTTAAATCCCTCTTATTGTATATACTATAATTATTGTTTTCTCTTTTTTAGTACAGACTAAAAAGAACTTTGACTACCATCCCATGTTAAATTGTCTCTTTACTCCATACTATATGCTTTCCTAGAGACTATGTTTGCCAATGTTTCAGTAATTTTCATATAAACTTATAATTTCAATATTTGTAAAAAAATCTTTTAAACTTGCAACACACACATGAATTTTGATCTTAAACATATCTTGTAATTATATCAATAATATTAAATAGCAAATGCCAATAAAATAATCCAATCAAAGGATCTATCAAGATAGTCAAAGGAGGGCTGGGGATGTGGCTCAAGCGGTAGCGCGCTCGCCTGGCATGCGTGAGGCCCGGGTTCGATCCTCAGCACCACATAAAAAGAATTTGGTATAGGAGTAAAATAAAAAAAAAAAAACAATAAAAATATTTTCCTCCCCCCTCTCTCTTCAAAAAAAAAAAAAAAAAAAAAGATAGTCAAAGGAAGCGAAAAATATATACAGACATGTAAATATATAAGGATAGGTTAAAATCAAGTAAATGTAAAAGGATATAGATTCTTATATAACTAAAGTACAGAAATCTGTAACCCAGACTTTGGATCCTGTTAAGCATTACCATTTATCCTCAAAAAAAAAAAAAAAAAAAAAAGGTTTTGTTGTACAGACCCTGAATGCAGAACCATATTGCTAGCCACTGTGCTGGGAGTATGCAGTATGTTCAGCCTGACCCTCATTCACAGGCCAGTTCATTGGAAACAAAAACCTCCAAGTCAGAGGTTAGAAAGGTAAAGAACAAGAAAAAGTAAAAGCAGGTCTCCAAAATGCAGGGACAGGCAAACAACAGTCCCTTCCATGCCCATGTGACTCATTACAACATCAAATTAATCAAGACCTTCTCTATAGGTAAAAAGTCTTTTTACATTTTACCACTTGAAGAGAGTTTCCAACTTTGCATAAAAGTTTATGCTTTTTAAGCTATACGTTTGCAATTACTAAAACTTACTTTTTCAACATCACTTCTTACATATAGTTTCTGAATATCTGATAATACAATTAAATATGGTATCTTACCAGGCAAACAGTTATAATCTAACACCTTCCAATTTATTGATGCCCGCTTTTAAATTTTCCTGACAGTAGATTGCTTCTCCCACCATTTTCATATATGTTAGATATTTTACTATTTTAAAATGAACTATGCAAATAGGATAAAAGCAAAATAATAAACTCAAGTAAAAATAGGACGGAAGAGCATACCTTTAATTTGGATCCATGAGGTACCAGTACAGATTTATTCTGCTTTGGTGGGATGTACAGCTCCCATTTTCCATAATCCAATTTTTTATATGGATATGAAAATGGATTCCAACCATCTAAAAAGATATTTTTAAAAAAAGTCAGTTAATAACAGCTTGAAATTATTAATAAATTTCAAGTAACACATGAAATATTGGTCATTTATACAAAATCAAATTGTCTAACAAATAGTTTTCTAAGGCTGTACTAGCAACTTAAATTTAAAATGACCACTTTTTTCTATCTAAGTTTTCCTTTTGCTTCCTAAAAGTAAACAGAGATTATGACATTTTTCAATTGTACTTTCAACTTTGTTACTGCTATCAGTAACTAGGATATAAAAGAAAACAATAGGTCCTTTTTTAAGTAATATCATCAAAAAAGAAAGTTGACACCAACAAAAAGAAATGCATTATATGTGATTAGATAAGATACAGAGAAGGTATTGTATTTGCAAGTAAATGGATGGATTTAGAGAAGATAATGCTAAGTGAAGTTAGCCAATCCCCAAAAACCAAAGGCTAAATGTTCTCTCTGATAAGTGGATTCTGATCCATAACAGGGAGAGAGGAGGCATGGGAAAAATGAAGAAACTTTGACTGGGCAAAGGGGAGGGAGAGTAGAGAGAGTACATGAGGGCAGGAAAGATGGTGGAATGAGATGAATATCATTACCCTAGGTACAGGTATGTCTGCAAATATGGTGTGATGCTACATTGTGTACAACCATAGAAAAGTTGTGCTGCAATTGTGTACAATGAATCAAAATGCACTCTGCGGTCATGTATACTTAATTAAAATAAATTAATTAATATAAAAATTTTAAAAAGAAAAAGAATTGAAATCATATGTACCCAAATTCAAAAGAGTATGATACAGCTCAGTTAAAATCTAAAGAAACGCCTCAAGCAAGAAAGTTAGAAGGTTACATACTATAAAAGATGAAGAAAAGCTGGACTCCCAATCCAAGAAGAAAGCCAAAATAAATAATAACAAATTCATACCCACAGGCAAACTTAATACAGTTGGCATTAAAAAATAGTGAGCAAAGAACACATCATTGAATAAATGGTGATGGGACAGCTGGTTATCCTCATAAAAAAATGAAATGGATCCATATTTTATAATATACCTGAAAACTATTGAACATGGATTATATTTAAATATGATGAATAAAACTGTAAAGTGCTTAGAAGATAATACCCAGAAATACAACTATAATATTCAACTTTAAAAGGAAAATTTTTAAATCGAGACACAAAAGAACTCTATAACACTTTAAGGAAAAGACTTATAAGTTTGCTAAAACTATAAGCATATTTTCATAGATAAAGAGATCAGCAAAACAATCTATTAACAGGGTAAACACATTGTAAAAAAAAATACCATACAAAGTATACAAACAATACTACAAATCAATGGGGAAAAAATAAACCAATAGAAAAAAATGGTAAAAGAATATAGTCAGATAAAAGGACACTTGAATGACCAATAAACATATGTAATGATACTCACGCTCACTTTTAATCAGAAAATCAAAACTAAAACAACAATGAAATGTCATTTTCCACTCATTACATTGGCAAAAACTTAGTTCCAAAATATCAAGCAGCCAAAAAGGATATAAAACAATACTGCTGCTGAGTGTATAAATGGAGAAAAACAATTTAGCATTATATACTGAAGCTGGAATTATGTTAACCCTGTGGGCCAACATTTCTATTCCCAGGTAATAACCTAGAGAATTCTCACAAATGTGCCTAAGAAAGCATTCAAAAGTATCCACAGAAGAATTGTTTGCAATAACAAAACTGTAAGCAATCAAAATTTAAATCACTCAAAAATGAGTAAATACTTTACAGTATAATTAAACAGGATGCTACACAATAGTACAAAATTAATGGATTAGAGTGAATGTATCAATATACAAACATCCAAGACATAAAAGTTAACTTGAAAAGGAAACAAAAATATCATTTATATGATGTTCAAGGAATATGCAAAAGTAATGCTTACAAGCACATACAGTAAAAATATTAAAACTTAAATGGGAATTTGAAATATCAAATTCTATAGTGATTCTCTCCAGATAGAGGGAAGGGAAAACAAGAAGCTTCAATAATATCTATCATATTTTATTGCTAAAGGTGAGTGGTATACACCCAGATGCTTATTACATCACTCACCATTTGCTTACGCCTAAAATAGTTTTGTTTTGTTTTGTTTAAAAAAAAAAAAAGGCACTCCTGTAACATACAGTTACTGACATTAGATGTTCAGCCAAGAGATATATAAGCATCAGGAAAACCCTTTCATTCATCCCATATTTTCCTCCTTGACAGCCAACTCTTCCAATTCCTGAGCTAAGTCAATCTGAACAATGGGGATAAACTGGGAACAAGAAGCAATATTTAAATAAAGATCTTTCTATATATTTCCATGTTCTCCAGCATGAAGACAAGCTGAAAATGTCTAAAGGTCTATACCTTTAGGAGCAGCCCAACAGAATCAATATTACTATACATACCTTCCACTAAAATTTCAAATACATCTTATGTATGTATGCCATAACATTATTCTACCCCAACAGGGTTTAATCCATTTGTAAGAGAAAAAAAATAATAAATAAAATAAAAAGCTTGAAACAAGAATATCTGGGCATTATAACCCTGTATATATTGTACTGTCTTTTTATGAAGTGTTTATAAAGTGTCTTTTTTTTTATGAAGTGTTTATGCTAAACACTTCAGATAATTAATAAACTTAATACAAGCGGATTTTTTCTTGGTTAAACATGCAAATAAAAGGCACAGTCATTAGTTAATTTATTCATTAAAACAGCATTTCATTCATAGTATAGGTTCTCCTCAATAGAAAACTGAAATTAGTGTTCAAAAATAAGTCATTTCTCAACCAAGGTTACATTGAGAAAAAGTACACCAAACTAAATACTAAAATTTAAAATGGGGTATCCATTAAAAATTGACCTATTAATAAGCTTTTGTTAGCTGGGCATTATGGTGCACACCTGTAATCCCAACTACTAAGAAAATTGAGATAGGAGGATCTCAAGTTCAAGATCAGGTTTGGTAACTTAGCAAGACCCTATCCAAAGAGAAAAAAAATAAAAAGGATTTAGGATGTAGTTAGTGGTAGAATGGCTCCTTCATTCAATCCCTATCCCTAGTACGAGAGAGAGAGAGAGAGAGAGAGAGAGAGAGAGAGAGAGAGAGAGA